GAATGCTGGTGTCACTCAGACCCCAAAATTCCAAGTCCTGAAGACAGGACAGAGCATGATAGTGCAGTGTGCCCAGGATATGAAACATGACTACATGTACTGGTATCGACAAGACCCAGGCATGGGGCTGAGACTGATTTATTACTCAGTTACTGCTGGTATCACTACCAAAGGAGAAGTCCCCAATGGCTACAATGTCTCCAGAATAAACACAGAGGATTTCCTGCTCAGGCTGGAGTCGGCTGCTCCCTCCCAGACATCTGTGTACTTCTGTGCCAGCAGTTACTCCACAGCGTTACAAGGCTGTCTCCTCTCCGCACATGAAAGCAGGGAGGCTCTGCCCTCCTCCCCCAGCCAAGACTCAGGGATGACCTGGGCAGAGTTTTCTGGAACAGGAACCTTGGAACCCCAAGTGGCCCCAACTGGCCCAGATAGTATGAACCTCGCTCTGTGCCAGGTGCCTCTGCAGGCAGTCTCAGCCAGGCCTGGGCTGATCCCAGGTCCTCAGATGTCTCCTTTGTTGCTCTCTCTGGTCTATCCTCCGAGCTCTCCTTTAGGGGTTGGGCTAGGGCTCCCTCAGCTCCTACTTTTCAACTCATCATCCTGAGTCTGAGGCCCCCAGGATGAAACAGGATTTGTATTTCACATCCATCTAGACTCCCATCTCTCCCTGGTGACCATGTTGCTTCCTGTCTCTAGGGTTTCCCCTACTCCCCACCCTCCTGTGGCCCACCTTTCCCATCTCAGCAGTCATCCTCCACCCGCCACCTCCCCGCCCCTCTCTACCGCAGCCATGGGGGGAACCCCTCTTCTGTGACTCCTTCCTTCCCATCACAAAGACTTCAAAGGCCATTTCCTCTGCCCTGGGCTGGAGCCTTCCTTTATCTAGTGGCCAGCTCCTACCTGTGCTTCAGATCTCAGCATGATCAGCCCTCCTGCGGGAAGCACTCCCTCCCCTCCCAGCTGAGATCAACTTTCCTCTCATAAGCTCTCACAGAATCATGTGTCTGTTAGTAAAATTTAGCACACTTGGGCTTTCTCAGATACTTGTTCTGATTATTTTTGTGCTCCCCCCAATTTTTTTTTTTTTATTTAGACAAAGTCTCACTCTGTTGCCAGGCTGGATTGCAGTGGCATGAGCTCTGCTCACTGAAAACTCTGATACTCTGATTCAAGTGATTCTCCTGCCTCAGCCTCCCAGGTAGCTGGGATTACAGGCATGTGTCATCATGCCCAGCTAATTCTTGTTTGTATTTTTAGTAGAGATAGTGTTTCACCATGTTGGCCAGGATGGTTTCGATCCCATGACTTCACGATCCCCGGTCTCTCAAAGTGCTGGGATTACAGGCGTGAGCCACCACGACCGGTCCCTGCACTTAATTTTTTAGCCCATGAGAGCTAAGGCTGTGCCTGCTGCATTTACCAACATCGGTGCCTGGCATGTGGGGAGATCCATTTCACAAAGAATGGATGAGTGAATGACAGGCTGAGTGGGTGATGAGTGGGTGGATGAACCAATAGTAGGCACACACTACATCTACTGTAACCTGGCAGAGATCTAGCATTAAGTATAAGAAAGCCCACCCCTTTGATTGCTGGGCTCAGGTCAGTCTTGGAAATTGATGGGGAATCACTATCATGGCGTCCATACCTGGCTCAAGGCTTCCTCTTGTGGCTGCAGCACCTGACCTCCTCCAGGTCTCTGTGCTCTCCTTCAGGGTCTTCCCCCACAACAAATCAAGACAGATCAGAGATCTACCTCTATAATTCTATCCTTAAAGGTTGTTCCTTGAAACCACATCTGGTAAGAAAATCTCCATTATGTTTGCATCAATAAAACAGGGGTACTACAAGTTTGAGAGTGTAACAGATTTATGATCAGAATTAGACTTTATGCATATGTGGGGTTTGCTGAGGAAGACAAGGTCTTGAGGAGAGAAGTCAGAAGGTGAAGGAGCCAGTCAGTAGCCAGGGCTTCTGGAGGTCTGGGCAGGACAGGCTGGAGTGGCAGAGACATGAGAGGATCAGAGCATGCCAGGCCATGCAGTGGGATCTTGAGCTGGGAGAACAGGAAAAGGCCAAGGAAACCTGCTTCTGGGGAAGCTGTTCCCTCTGTGTGGGGGCCACCCCTGCAGGTGCACTGCCAAATACCGGGGGCAGCCTGGCTGCTGTTGGCCAGATGAACTGGACACAGGGTGCAGAAGGAACAGGACTTCCAAGGTCTGTTGGATGCCTCTGTATCTGATGGTCACTAACTCTCACTGTCTGACCACAATGACCTGCCGATTGTTATAGTGACTGTTTTACATCCATCTTCTAAATTTTACCAAATTTATCTTTGACCATCTCTAACCCAGAATGATAAGAGAAATGGCATTGTGGGAAAGTCAGACTCTTACCTTTGCAAAGTTGACTTAATACAACCCAGCACAGGAGGGATTCTCCCAGATTAGGCACCAGATCAACGACTGTCTCAACCTTCCATGGTCCGTGGACTCCTCTCTGGGGGACACCTGTGCTGCTCAGGTGAATGTGGACACAATTTGTATGTAGATATTCCAGACACTGGCTACTAACTTTTCTTTTAATCCTGTGCCTGAAATCTCACTCCACCCAGAGGCAGGGCTCTGCCTCCTGCTTCTGTTTCCTTCCTGAGCTTCCGTCCTGCTGGTGTTGCTGGGACATCAGACTCCTGCTCAGAGTGCAGCGACCTGTGGAGAGGGAGGGAAGCTCACCTCTTGGGAAGTGTAGCAACCTGTGGAGTGGGAGGGAATCTCATGTCTTGCTGCCTTCCTGGATCCAGTTCTTTTATAACCAAAGCAAGCGCTCTGGTCTCTCTTTGAGCTCTGCAGTATGAGAAATGTGCTTCATGAATTTGTAGCTGATTAGCTCAATGATTTGATGGCAAACCCAAAGTGAAATCCTCAGATCTGCAGAAATTGCCCTGCATTTCTGTGAAGATGGCAAGAATACTGTGTGGTAGAGATGCCTTCTCTCCATGTAGAGACCTGGCCCCCAAACAGGACAGAGCAGAGAGGGCCAAAGAGCCCAAAACATGTCTCAGATGGTTGAAAGACAATTTCCCAGGACAATCCTGCTGACAACAATTGGTCCCTCATATTACACGCCTAACCACCCTTCCTCCCAGATCAGCTGAGTACCCAGGATATTACACATCCCAGCATCTTCCAACAAGGAAAAATACTTCGCATGCCAGCCTCCTTCCAGCACCACATTGACTAACCCCAGAAACAGACTTTCCAGAAAAAAGCTCTGTCTTCTCTTGGCCCAGTCTAGCCTGGTAGGTTTAATTCATGATTTGTGTGACCTTTTAACTTACTCAAAGGAGAACATATGATTTCAGAGTAAAGAATGTTAATTTCATTTGTATAAATTGGACCTAAACAGTAAACTGAGTAGTTTTCTTCCATCAGTGTCTTAAATTGGACAGTGGTAAAACAAATCTTAGATGCTAGAACTTTTTAGGTCCTGGTGTTTTTCATATGGAAGTTTCCAGTTACCCAGTCCAGGGCATGGAATAGATGAGCTTTAGTAAGTCACTGTATGCTTGAGATGATTTTCTATGGGTATTTTTTCTGAGTTACAGTTAACAAAGGTGGGAAGTGATCCCAGAAGAAAGGCATGAGGGCAGTTCATGAGGGAACCCCTGTGATGTGACAGTCCCATTGGGCACCAGTGACTGGGGGAATGGAGGAGTCTGGGGCATGAATGGGGATGGCAGAGGGGATCCTGTTTTGCAGGAAAGACAATGAGCTCACCTCTTTGTGCCCTATGTTAGGGGCAGTGTTGGTGCATCCTACAGGACATGCCCAGCAGACAGAGGAGAGGCTGTAGGATGAGAAGATGAACTCAGAGATGCAGCGTGAGGCCTCCGGGTACAGACAGCTCTGGAGCCCAAAACAATGAGCCATACATTGATATTGTTAAAACGGTGGTTATAAATATTTAAAGTGTCACCCAAGTGTGTTCTAGTATAAATGCTGTGACCCTGAGTTCCTGGGGATTGAGAGAGGAAGTGATGTCACTGTGGGAACTGCCCTGTGGGGACAAGGACGTCCGTCATCCTCTGCTCCTGCTCACAGTGACACTGATCTGGTAACGCCCCCGTCCTGGCCTGACCCTGCCATGGGCACCAGGCTCCTCTGCTGGGTGGTCCTGGGTTTCCTAGGGACAGGTGAGTCCTCAGAACACAAAGTAGTTTCATTTTTTTTTCTGTATGTAGGTGTGTGTGTGCGCGTGTGCGTGTGTGTGTGCGTGTGTGTGTCTGTGTGTGAGTGATGACTACAAATGTTTTCCTTATTCTGTTGCCAAATTCTATTTCCACAGATCACACAGGTGCTGGAGTCTCCCAGTCTCCTAGGTACAAAGTAATAAAGAAGGGACAGGATGTAGCTCTGAGGTGTGATCCAATTTCGGGTCATGCAGGCCTCTATTGGTACCAACAGGCCCTGGGGCAGGGCCCAGAGTTTCTGACTTACTTCAATTATCAAGCTCAACCAGACAAATCAGGGCTGCCCAATGATCGATTCTCTGCAGAGAGGCATGAGGGATCTGTCTCCACTCTGACGATCCAGCGAACAGAGCAGCAGGACTCGGCCGTGTATCTCTGTGCCAGCAGCTTAGCCACAGCGTGGCACAGTCACCTCCTTCCTGTTCACAAACCTCATCCTTCACTCTCCTGCAGTTCCCAGAGACTCTTGACAGAGGCCTCTCTTTGCTCCTCACTTTTCATGGGAAAGAGGTGGATTTGGACTTCGGCTGTCCTTTGGGTAGAAAGAGACCACAGATTCATTTCTGAAACACAGTGACTGCAAATGTAGGTGGTGAAAACAATCAGGGCCCACTGTGCTCTAGGAGTCCTCGGAACCAGCTCACTTCTCCAAGCAAGGAGTGTGTGTCTTAGCCTCCGCCTTCAGGGCAGACATGCATCTTCTGTAGGTCTTGGAGGCTGCTGTGTTGCCCACATCCATGAGGTTGTCAAGGGCAGGAAACACGCCTCTTCTGCATTATGTTGGGGCATCTGGAAGGTCTGAGGCTACATCACCAGGAACATCTTTCTTTTGAAGCCTCTTCTATCCCTGTCACCTTGGAAGTTTTCTGCAACAAAATATCAAACCTCTCTTCCTGTTTGAAGTAAAGGTCTTTGCAACTTTTGTGGTCCTTACGTGATAAATACAATCATGATAACAATAAGACTTCATTTCTTCTGCCTACTTTAAGCCACATGTACCCTTTATTTTGTTTCCATTTGCCATTGCTGCTGTTCTGATAGACAGAAGCATGCATTCACCACTGCTGCCAGTTCACCTTGATTCCCTCAGGAAATCTGATTTTTAGACTCTGAGTATTTTCGTTGTTGTCCAACTCATTTGATTTGAAATAATTTTCCTGAGGACTTTAACTCATGAAGTGTTTTATTTTTAATATTGAAACTATTCCCTTTTATTTTTCATAATATATAGTGTTATACAGTACTTGTTATAAATAGAAGTACAATGATTATATTGCAATAGAATCTTCCATCTCTCTGTGGGTGATGCTGCAGTTTGTATCTATGAAATCAAACGCACTGGTCAGAGCTGATGTGATTATGGATTATGGGTTTCTGAGAGTTCTCGGCAACAGGCCACTTCTCCAAGTCTGGGACTCAGTGTCTCACACACAACCATGACAGAGGTGCCCTGAATTTTTCATA